TTAAGACTAGGCTATACAAAATACAGAAAACACAATCTTAATTATGATAGTCTGCATAGATACATCAATTCCACTGACATTAATTTGGCATTTTTAACATTTCCCAACAAATAACTCCACCATCTGGATTTGAAACATGTGTTATTTATTGAAAATATGGTAAAAAGAAACTGTAGTATGCAAATAAATCACATTTCTCAGTGCCATTGTATGACACCACAGATATATAATATGCATTTATTCTCTAACTTTTGCATCCCGTTCATCCCAACCCCCGTCATTTCCTCCCCACTTTTGTTGTGGACCCCAAATCTGGAAACAGGTTCAGGTCCAAGTATCACCCAGATGAGGCTAGCCGACTTAAGTCAGAGGCCCAGAGTGCCCTGCACAACCGTCTGAATGTCTTCATGTTCCTGATGGAGAACTGCTGGTTTGATGATGTCTCTCTGGACATTGAACAGACCCCAGCCATCATCAAAGTTCTGGATGCAGGTGACACCTAAAAATACTTTAAAGAGTACAGTTGATATGTGGAGTTCGTCTTTTTGTTGAACCATATGCCCACTTGCTTCCTTCAGCTGTGATAAAGATGGAGGGAGGGACGGATCACGATCTTCGCATCTTGGACCTGCCATGTGAAGAGGAGGAAGAAAGGGAGAAGTTAGCATCTGCTTCAGGGGGTGCAGAACCTCTAAAGAGAGAAGACCTCAAAACCTTTGACGGGGACCGCAAGTCTTCAGTAGAGAAAGACAAAAATGAGAAGGTGTGTTTTGTTCTCTGTCTGTCTTCACCGGGCGGTAGAGGTTTCACAGTGCTGTGTTAGTGACAGGAATCTGTGCCACAGGAGGAGAGCAACTCCGCCAGCACAGAAAGAGCTGCTGCAACAGAAGGGAAGGATGTGAAAGAAGAGGCAGAGAGAGAAGCTGCCAAAGAAGAAATGCCTGAACCCAAGAAAGTAAGTGCTGTTCTATTTATGGAATTTGTTTGCTAACAAGAGACAGACATTAACCAAACAGCCCTTCTCATTTTCATTCACCAGCCAAGAAGAAAGAGGAAGCGCAGTGGAGACAGTGACGATGAAGGCAGCGCCTCAGAGAGTGACTCTGACTCGGATTCAGACTCAAATTCCAACTGCTCTGATAAACCTGTGAAGAAGCAAGAGATGGAAGACAAAGATGAGGAGGAAGAGGAGGGTGAAGGTAGGGATAAAATTCATTGCATCTAATTTTTATCTTCAGAAAGACCATACCGTGTCCCCGGTATTGTATGTGTTCCCCATATTCGTAACTCACAATTTGCTCTCTTCCATCTAATGATGAAGAGGAGAAACCAAAGGAGAATGCTGAAGATGACAAAAAAGAGGAAAAGAAGACCAAAGATGACTCTCCAAGACCGCGGCCTCTCCACAGGACCTGCTCTCTGTTCATGAGGAGCATCGCTCCCACCATCTCCAAGGCTGAGATTATTGCTGTGAGTTGAACACAGGTGGCAGTGGTAATGACCCAGAAGACATAGAATCTGAAACTGAGGGCACTGAATAATGTGTGTTTTTTGTTTCAACTCACTATCCTTGTCTGTGTTTCTCTCTCAGCTTTGCCGCCGATACCCTGGCTTTCTGCGTGTTTGCTTGTCCGACCCCCATCCGGAGCGCAGGTTGGTTTAGAAAACCCCACATTCTTTTTAATTTGTTACTCTGAAAATGATGTTCGCTGGATTCATTTAGTCACACATTGTGTGAAGCAAAAGACTCCACAGGATTAGACTATAATGTTTAAATGAACCCTGTGCTGTTGCAGATTTTACAGGCGTTGCTGGGTGACGTTTGACCGTAGCATCAACATCAAAGAGGTCTGCTGGAACCTTCAGAATATTCGAGTAAGTGTGCCAGTCTCAGCTGTTTACACTCTTTACACACTTTCTTTATTGTAATGTGCAGCAAAGATATGTGTCACAGAGCTTTCCAAAGAGTGTCAAGATGATGCAGCCTATTATAACTTGCAGTAGGTAATGTGTTTTATAATTCATGTATTGAATTGTTACCATTGCAGTATTAAAACTCTTGTTTTACACTGTAACCTTCACAGCTGCGAGACTGTGAACTGGCACCGGGAGTGAACAGAGACCTGGCCCGGAGGGTGCGTAATGTTAATGGCATCACTCAGCACAAGCAGGTGCTCCGCAATGACATCAAGCTGGCGGCCAAGCTCATTCACGCCTTGGACGAGAAAGGAGAACTTTGGAACATGAAGTTCCGGGAAGAGGCGGCGAACACAGAGGTACAGCGTTGATCGTCAAGTTCATGCGTTTGCATGCGTGTGTACAGATTAAACAGATTGTTCTCACATGATCTTGCTATAACTGAATTATTTATTTATATCCGGTTTATGATTTCAAAAGTTGCCTGCTCAGAATCCCATCTTGAAGAACATCACAGATTACCTGATAGAGGAGGTGAGTGCTGAGGAGGAGGAGCTCCTGGGCTCCGGGAGTGGGATGGAGGAGGAGTGCGCCAAGGAAGGAAACCCTGCAGAGACGACCGTGGAGAGGGACGACAAACTAGCCAAGGTTTGACTTATGCAGTTAAGAGTATAATCACAAATTCACATACTGCCAGTTCATTATCAAAGAAATGCATTATACTTCATCTGTGTATTCTCTGCCCTCGTTTGAAAGCAGATATGATTTTGTTACTTTTATACATGATGTACTACGTTTGTCACCCTGATGGCCGACTAATTAAGTAAATTAAATCTTAACGTTCTGTCTCTTTAAGTTCCTCTGCCATGTGCTTTGTTCCAGGTTTTGGATCGTCTGATCTTGTATCTGCGGATTGTGCATTCAATTGACTACTACAACACATGTGAATATCCGAGTGAGGATGAAATGCCCAATCGCTGTGGCATGATCCATGTACGTGGACCCATCCCTCCTAACCGCATCACACATGGGGAAGGTCAGTGTGTCTCCTTTGTTTGTGTTATAGTACATGTAGGAATGCGCTGCAAAGAGAGAAAGTAAATATGTTGTGTACAGTTGTAGCTTGATGCAAACATATGTTCCTGCTTTAACTTTCGACTATTGTACCTCTTTACTGGTTAAATATTACCTGTGTTTCAAAGAAGAGTTTGAAGTTGTAGTGTTGTGTAATTGCTGTACATCTATATTTGTGGAATATGTGTGGAAAAATACATTTTGTATAATGAAACACTGGTGGCTTGATGAGTTATTGAATGCTTCAACAACTATGGTTTTAATCAATCACCTTTTCACACCTGTCACATTTGTCTGGTAACGTTACAGTGCAACAATGGCAGAAGATGATGGAGGAGAAGCTGAGTCCTTTATATAGTTTAAAAGAAATCCTGTCTGAGGACGAAGCAGCAAAGATGGGCCGCAAGGATCCTGAGGAGGAGGTGGAGAAGTTTGTGTCTGCCAACACTCAAGAGCTGGGAAAGGACAAATGGCTCTGCCCTCTGAGTGGCAAGAAATTTAAGGTGAGTAAAACCGTATTCAGGACTGTACAACACGTTGACTTTATTGCTGTATTGTCATTCACTGTTTTGTTGCTTGATTCTTATTGTGATGCCAAGACCTTCTGCATTTCAATTTAATTTCAAGGGCCCAGAGTTTGTGCGGAAGCACATCCTCAACAAACACGGGGACAAAATTGAAGAAGTTAAAAAGGAAGTGGCGTTCTTTAACAATTTCCTTATGGATGCCAAAAGGCCGTCGCTGCCAGAGATGAAGCTTCCTCCTCTTCCAGGCCCAGGTCAAGGTCGACACAGCCTCTCTGTCTTATAAACGGATACCTATTTTAATGGAATAAATCATGTTTTGTCCACTGTAACATAAGCTTTTTTTTTTATAATCCTGAAGGTTTGCTGTCTCCAAGTATGCCATTTCCTCCCCAAGGTCCTCAGGGTCCAATGGGCTTTGGACAGCCTCGGCCACCACTGATGGGCTACAGCGGTATGTTCACTGACTGTACTTAAATTAATTTTTTCTTACTGACAGTTGAATTGGGTTTTGTCAATCAAACTGCTGCTTTTGTGTTGATTTTGAATCCTCCTTTTCAACAGGTGGACCTCCTTATCCCCCCAACCAATACGGAGGTGGTAGAGGCAACTATGACAACTTCCGTGGACAAGGTGGCTACCTGGGGAAGCCACGCAACATTAGGTGAGACCACTGTACGTGTGATCTTTAATCTGCTTTGAGCCATCTATTTTTTGTTAATGGAGAATCTTGAACCATTTTTTAATGACTGTTGGTTTTTGTCTTGCACCCTCAACCACCTCAGGATGTCACGAGGTGACCCACGCAACATCATTGAATATCGTGACCTGGATGCACCAGATGATATGGATTTCTTTTAGATGGTTCACTTGGTCCTTTCAGTCTTCACTCTTCAACAGTGTTGCTTTCTGCTTACTTTCTGTAGTAATTACATTATTTCTTTTCCTAAATATTGTTTTTGTAATTATTGTGCAAATAGAACAAACTTCTGTTGTGAAATGTTTCCTGAATAAAGTTGCGATTTACTACATTAATAGGTATCTATGTGTGACTTAAAGCAGATTAGAGCAGCCAAATCAAACAGATCAAGGTTAGCATTAAACACAGTGGCCATCAAGAGCAACTGATAATGTTTGGACAGTTAAGTTTTTGTTCATTGGTAGAAAACACAGTTAATTTTAAATAAGTTTATTGCTGTGTGTTTTGCGCTCATATGTTAGGAGAGCCCCAACCCTTCTGATAAAGCAATTGAAGAAGATCTGAAGAATGGTTGCCCTCTACCGGTTAAACCATTGAATTACATGTCTGTCTGCTGGCCATTTCATTTGACACAGCTGCCTACTGGAAAGCTGCCTCGCAGTGGTGCAACAAATATTCATTCATTTTGAATACCACCATGTACAAATACTCCAATTCTAAATGAAATGTAGTTCTCACACATGACATTAGCAATAACTTGTATGTTACTGTGTAATCACATCAAATACAGTGTCACATCTTAATTATTTAATGCACATTCCTATTAAATATATTCATATACAGTCAGATCTTACAGTAAGAACAAAGGTCGATAAAAACACAGTGACACGTCTTAAATGATCTGAAGCTTGTGACTTTCAGCAATGCCACAGCTGACCTTGTGTTCATGGAACAACTTGGCCAGGGCCTCCATGTAAAGTCTATGATAGTGGTCGACCTCCTCCTCAGTAGGCGTGACACGCTTTGGCACTGAGATTGGACTTCCCACTGGAAGAAGCAGAGTGTTAGAATAAAATTGGCCCCCGTACAACAAGTTGGGTTCATCTGCAGAATAATGAAATACGCACCAACAGTGGTGACCGGAGTCTTGTAGGGCAGGAATGCCAGGCGCTCGCCCACAAATAGACATGGGGCGAAACCCATTATCTTTTTAAACAGATCCTGTAACTTCCGACCTAGACTGCCATCTGAGAAGATAACCTGCTTAAAGAGCTCATTCTCCCCAAACGAGTAAACGGGTACCAGATCAGCCCTGTGAAAGATCAGAGATGATATCAGTGTGTCCAGTAGTGAACTGCTGGCTACATGTGAGTACAACGATACCCACTCATGACTGTCGTTTCCTGGGTGTTGTTAAGTATGTTCTCACCCAAACTCAAGGGCCACCCTGACAAATCCCTTTCTCTGCTTCATGACCACTGTGTTGACTCCAGGAGAGGATGCCAGAGACTCAGCGGCGCCCCCTATTACAATCACCACTGCATTTCCCTTGCCACTTTTCGAAAGGAGGTGGGCAAGGCTTGGCTTGCTGACTGGATAAAGACCTGATCAGGCAAAGAAAGTAAGACAGTCACAACAGTTTAGTTCAACTGCCATTAGCACTTAAATTATCTCTAGCAAATGATTAAAAAAGGCTTAAGTGTTAGATTTGGTTGATGTCAATAGGTGAACGTGTTAGAAATACCTGCACACATTAGGTACTCCCTTAAGAGTGGTATCCTGAACAGTCCTGCCAGTACCGCCAGGTGGCATCTCAGCCCAGGAAACACCTCAGTGAAGCCACAGCTGTCAGTGCTGAAGCAGGTAAAGGCTCCAACACTGAGGATACCATGCGGATGACAACCTAAGATGTAGTTTTTGTTTGGATTCAGCTCAGCTGTCTTCATCAGCTGAGCAAGAGAATTAACACAAAAGGATTACTCCAAGAGTTGATCACAGTTTCTCTCTTTTGTTTAACTGGGAGAACTGATGAAATTGTGCTGATTAAAGGCATACAAAGTAAAATGCTCATTACAAAGATTTGTATCTAACATGTGAATCTGCCTTACTAATCACTGCAATACCAGGATTTTATACTTCCCAGTACCTGTGGAGTACACAGGAGTCAATGTTTAAAATGCCTATTTGCACTTGTTTCCAAAAGTGAAATAGCCTTTCACTCACGCACATTTTTAGATTTTAGAATACATTTGTGAGGATAGGAGTTTTTTTCTGGGGGGTAAATGGGTCTTGTTTTAAGTATAAACTGTATGTGAGCTCTTGTAACATTCCCTGAGCCTGTATCTGACACACACACACTCCAACCAAATGTCATCGGTTGACGAGAAAGTGTGATGCAGGTGTTGAAAGATACAAAGTCAAACTTACTTTGACTGGAAAGAAATCTCTGAAGTGCTCCCATACTCTCCACCTCCTTACAAATGTTGTTTTCCTGCCCCCTGATGGAGACATTATAAATCTTAGAGGTAGTGTGTCCCAATGTCATACTCTACTCACTGTACGCAGCATGTTTTATAATTGTCGTAGGACTGTTTTTGTAGTTCGTATACAAAAAAAATAAAAAAAAATAAAAAAAAGTGGACTGTGTCTCAATTCCAAACTACACAGCTAATTCTAAGAAAACTTTGAGTATGTAGTGTGTTACCACTAGAAAAGTGACAAAATAAAAGTAAACTCAAAACAGTATGAAATTTATGTTTTTTTTGGAAACATTTGACGTTTGAATTCTGAAGTTTCAGTTTGACGTCCGACGGCACAGAAAGTGTATTTCCTGTTAGTATAAAATAGTTAGGTATTTTTATTTCTTGTATATTAACGGCATAAAGATAAGCATATTCTATGTACTGTATAGGATTAGTATGGAACAGGATTTTATGTTTATAGGAAATTAAACTGTCAAACAAGATGTTTTACAATCTACAATTTGTTGTTTTAATTAAGTAATGTATTTAGTAGACATTATGGAATTGAGACAAAGTTACCATATAGGATTCTATTATTTTCATGGATACTTGAATGATATCAGTTCCTTTACCTCTTTCAGGGGTTTCCCAGTCCAACAGCAGCCACATGAAGTACAGAGTGGAGAAAGGCCACAGCGAGGTAAACATAAGATACACCATCAAGATAATACAAGCCACTCCTGAAGTTGGATGCGTATTGTGCCGTGTTGGACAAGACAAGAGTCCATATATTGGGGGGTTACAAAAGATGTCTTAAATTAGCTCAGGTACAAATGAGTACAGAGTTGTTTTATAGATGCAGTGAAAAGCTTGTGAACAAACAGGTGAGCTAATGTTACTAACAAACATTATTTGAGATACTTTCTAGTGTTGTGTGATACAAGTTCATAAAGGGTGAGCGTAGTGGGAGCTTACCTAAGAAGAGAAAGGTTAGTACCCATTGCAGAACACTTATTGCCTCTAAAAATTCCTTCCACTGAGATTTTTGTTTAGTCATTCCTGCAACCTGGAGGCCATACCATCATTTTTCAGCAGTCAATAAAATTTTAAACAGTGCTTCCATTCAACAAAAGTCATGGTTATATTAATTATATTCTTAATGTCTGTCCTTTATAACAAAAGTTGCTTTATCTGAGATAATGAAATTTATGATAGAGAGAGATCTGGTTGCATCAATAATCAGCACTTCAGCTTGTGATCTTAATATTTCTTTAGGGAAGTCATAGACTTAAAAAACCTGTGAGGCATGCAGCAGCCTGATGAAATGACTTGCTTGTAAACAAGCTGGCAGGCAAACATAGACAGTAGGATTTTTATTTTGCTCACAAATACAACTTATCAGCTACACTTGTGTGACCACAAAACACCTTTGGCTAAAAGTCATTAAGAGAAAATAAAACTTTTATTATCATACTGCAAAGCATAAAACATGATACTTTACCTTATTAAGAGTTTGTTCCAAAGTTAATTTGAATGAATGCACATTCACCAGTTCAGGGAAAGCATGAAATGCAGGATGCACTTTGACCACCATGTAAAACTCCTGATAAGGAATCCACTCCCCCAATACTTTGACACACGGGCAAGCAAGATAAATATGTCAAAGTTTTATAGTCGGAAATTTTAGTCTTTGGATCTGTGTAGTCTCACAGAGACTTAATGGAATGGAGCCTTTGTTTAATTTATTGTAGGTACATCTGTGCTTTTCCTGCTTTGACGAGTCATAATGTCTCCCATTAAAAGGGTCTACTATGTTAAAGGACCTGCACAGGTGACTTCAATTATCTTTGCTGATTAGATCTTATAGTCAGGTTGAAGTTAGATGGAGCTTTGCTGGGAGTGATGTCACCAAACTCTGTGAAGCACGGAGGCCTGGTAACAGTGAAAGTTGTCCCGCCCTAACAGGTGCAACAAAACTAACAACAGGGTGAGAGAGATGCCAATCAAGTGCAGTTTGCACAGGCCCGCACAGTCCTGATAAGAAACCTAATGTTTTAGCTTTTCAGAAAGACAAGTGGAAGAAACTAGTATAACACAGTTTTAGAGAATAAGCCTGTATATTAATTTGGTTTATGTTTTACACATTTAATCAACATTTCTACATTTTTTGACCAAGAAAGAAAGTTGAATCACTGAAAAATTTAGATGTGGCCTTTGGTCTCTCACATATAGCTGCATACTTTGACCTCTGCACATTGTTGTCAGCTCTACTTGTTGCAGTAACAGTCCAAAGATTCCACTGATAGGCCTACAGACCTACATGACCAGACACCTGTGTTCTTCGAGAGGGATCACTCCTAATAGCTCACTTGGGTGTTAACTCAAGGTTTCCCTTTCTCACCTGTCCTCAGCAGCGTCCCAAAGGGGGCGTGTCAGCTCCCCCCCACCCCTATTTGTTTAGGCTACCTGAGTTTGGTTTTAATTGCCCACAGCCGAAAAGTAAATACATAATTAAGACACTGTTTTCCTTTTATATGGACTCAACAGTGATCATCTCCGCACATTCTAAGTCAAACCACATTTTAATTCCTCTTGGCTTCAATAGCCGTAACTGGTAATCTGTCCCCACAAAATGTAACAGCAATATTCCTATGACGGCTTAGCCTACTTTATGTGTGTGGTATTCACATGCGCATTTGACACTTAATAGCATTTTATCTCTTATTATTCGTTTCTATAACGTCCCCATAGGCTATATCAGTGTTGCTATGTTTTTGTGTGTCCTTGGATTCTCGTAAAATAATTATAGTCTATGTTTATTGAAGTTCAAAAACAAAATCGCCCCCTTTACTTTACCAAGAATCAATCCGGACATTTAGTGAGTCTGCTGCTGAATCTTATGCTAAATATGAAATTTAACTACTGATTAAGAGGCAAAAGATGCCTTTCGGGGCAGTTGGACTCAAAGCCTCATCGGATGCTTTTTTTCCTTTACTAAAAACAACCACTGATCTGCTCTCAGGGAGTACTGTATGAATTTTAATATGGATGCAAACACACAGAGAGGATGCCCAGCGCGTGAACCGACACAGCGCGCTGGTATCTGCGCATTTTTGTTTTGACGTTTTTTTTCTGTGCATGCCTGAACTGAAAGCGTGTTTCTTCTGCGGAGGTCTCGTAGCCCCTTTTTTTGAGAAAACACACAAGGATGGCGTTTTACCTGAGTGTTTGTAGAGGAACATTTTGTATGCTAACGTCGCATTGAATTGCATCATGGTTTTCAATCAGATCTCGCACCGGCCAGGCTCCGCCGAGCCTCGGCAGTAGCAGGACAGTGAGCTGTTTATCATAAAAATGGAAGACCTTTCACGTCAAGAAAAGGCGTCATTTCGGTGATATGCGTCTGAATAACTGATTTTTCATTTCCACGTCAATTGACACATCTGGGAAAGCGTTTCTCTTTCCCTCCTGTCTAGCAAGACAGCTGTGTCATCAACAACCGGCGTGGTGTTGTTGTTGTCTGATTTTTACGAGCCTCGGCAACTGGATCTCGGCACAGTCTGCCTCTGCGCCAGCCATAGGCTACCCGGTTAATAAGGTAGGTATCACACCTTTATTAATATTAGGTTTTGCTCCGTAAATCAAGCATCACTTGCTTACATCTTCTAGCCTATAGAGCCAGCTGTCATTGTCAAAATGGACTGTCTGCCTAATTAGCAGCAGCAAATATGATGCTGTATTGCGGAGGAGACATCGGGCCTGGTGGCGTTTTACGCGTAAATTTCAAGAAACACAAGGTTGACAGTGAGCCGCCGTGTGTTCACAAGCCAAATTATTCAACCTTGAAGCCTCGCAGCCCACGACGGTGAATATAAGGCCTGTGTTTTAGCCCAAAACACAAAAGAGATGCAAAGACATGGCAAGACCGCCGCGCAGGAGGTAACACACAGCCCGCGTTTAAGTTCAGTCGTGACAAGACCTTATAAATATTTCACCAAAAAACAAGCCTCCAACAGCTGACTGGTGAAGCTGGAGCATGCACGGCGTTATTAATCAAATACCTAGGCTACACCACAGCAGTGTCACTGTTCGGGGCATCATTCTGCAAGGCCATGACGGGAAACATCTGCATCTTTACGGGTAATAATAGTCTAGCAGGGTGGTATAGTGTGTGTGTGTGTGTAGGGGCGGTAGTTTCTCTGATTGTGAATACCCTGGTGATGTGTGTGTTTGTGCGCAGCCAGGTGAGGATGTGTTGGCGCGTCTTTGAGGTGTGGGAGAGGCAGGCGTCTGGATGAGGGGAGCCAGTTCATAAAACGTGTCTTTAAAGGGGAAAAAACAAACAAACAGATGATGCCTGAGAAACTGCCGCAATATCCCACCTCAGATCCTTTATGAGACCATCCAAAAGGGCCAAGGGGTTGTGACTTAAAACGTGAAATCAAGGTTAGTCAACACTGTTTTTTCCCCCTTTTTTCAGGGCGTGACAGACACTCACACCAAGAGATTTCTTCTTCACCACTCTACCACAATCATTTCAGTAGTCATGAGGTTGCTAAAATAAAAACGGATGTGTAAGAATCAGGGAAGGCTGCTTGACTGGGCAGGACATGTTAGATCTATACTGTATAGACATTTGATTTTGACTTATGCAGTCAGGTCAGTTAGTTGGTTATCTGTTACAAAACAAATACAATATGAGAATGTAAAGGCGTTGGGTGCAAATATCACAAAACTGCAAATCCTCCTTAATATTACAGACATTCCTGTTTGAGTCTAGAGATATTATGATGATTTGTCTTTAGGGATGATGCACCGGGATGTTGGATGCTTCACTATCTGCCTGAAATTCAACTTAAATGTAACATAAAACTAATTACCAGTCAGTCTGGCTTGACTTTGGAGCTGAATATGACAGAATATGATTTTAAGTCTTGGTTATTCTGACAGATACAGATGTACAGGATCACATATGTGGTTTATGTTGGTACAGATAGAGGAGTGCAGGGATGGGTGAGAGCAGCTGTGACTGTGGGGTCATTGAGTGCAGGCTGTGAGCCACACATACTGTGCAGTGTGTCTTGAATGCATAAGAAAACCGGGGCTCACAATAGCTGTCGCTAGCTGTCGTTGCTCACCTGGTAATCCCAAATTCAGTCCAGAAATGTGATTAAATGGGGAAACAGCAACTATATGTGGCCGCTTAGTCCGTTTGTGCAGTGCGGAAATAAATGGAATATGTTCTGTTGGAGGATTTATCCTGCTAAATCAGGATGAAGAGCTTTTAAAATATATGAAAAAAACCCACAGACTTTGGTTTAGAGTTAATGAAATTAAGTAGAGCTTGTGGTTTTGATGTATTTATGGAAATAATAAAAAGTGACTAGTGTTTTCAGTGAAGGACAATGGATTCCGACTGCTTTTCTCCATGTATTGGATTATCCAGTTGCTCTGACTCTGGCAGTGTGCATCATGTCTGGTTCCAAAAATGATGAGAAATTCAGTTTAGATGATTAAATACACAAATATACTGGACCAAGAGATGGCAGGAGGAGGGGGACCAATGGGGAGGGGAGTCAGGGAGCGAAGGACTGATGTATGTGCAACAGACGTGGCAGATGCTGACATTTTAAGCCATTTCTCTAGTCGAGAGGATACCCCTGTCTGGATAAGCAGTAATGGATTTTCTTTTTTTTTTGCTGTGGAATTCCTGGAGCACCCAAACAGATTGTTTGAGCAGAGAGTTTGAGCAGCAGCAGGTCAATAGTTTGGTAAAAGTAACGTAAATGGATACTACTGGCCAGTTGTGTAGGTATTTGAAAATCAAGACCTTTGTAGTTATGTTTTGCTGGCTTATGTGTGCCTTGCTGTTTTCTTAAGGGGACAGCAGGTGCGTCATCCATCTGTGGTTTCACCATCTTGAGTTTCTCAGTTCTGCCAGAGAGCGCTGGCATCGGACATGAGGACTGTTTCTACTGCAGCCTGTGAGCAATGTGAGGGACTGCTTTCAGATGAAAAATTAAGGATTTATAAATTCTGCTTCTGGCTTTGTGGATATTTACTTTTCATCTGGCCCATGATCAGCACAGTGGAGAAATGTGAGGTTATTTGGTCTAAGAAGTAATTCACTTTGTTTACTATGAGTAGAAAAGATGACTGTTTTTAGCTCAGAGCTGGTTAAACTTTGCCCCTAGTGGTTTCGGATTGAATCTTGCCACAGTTTTCTCTCCCATCACTGTGCTTCACTTCCCCCCTGTACTTTCATGCTGAGTAAATAACACTCTAGTAAAAGTGAACAGCCCACTAGAGCTGAAACGATTAGTACATTAACCTATTTGTTCATTGACAGAAAAATAATCGGCAACTATTTTGATAATCAAATAATCTTTTCAGTTATTTTTCAAGCAAACATTTTGAAACAGTACCACACCTTCTCATGTTCCAGCTTCATATATAAAAGTAAACTGCATAATTATGGGTTTTGGACTTTTGGTCAGACAAAACAAGGCATTTGAAGCCGTCAGGTGGGCGTATTTTTTGACATTTCATAGACGCAACGATTAATTGAAGGGGAAAAAAATCGATAAAGAAATTAATTGTTTGTTGCAGCCCACACTCTTTAAAAAATAGACAACATGACTTGTTTGGGTTTAGAGATCTGTACTGGCATCAGTGTAATACCTTCATATGCCTGTTTACATCTTTGACACAAGATGATGGGAAGCTGTAAAAATGAGACTCTGTCATTGAGTAAAGATTGTATTATTCCTTTTAATGTGTGTAGAATTTGGCTGGTATCTTGAAATTGTGTATTTTATGGAGGTGTTGGTTGAGTGCCATGACATTGTTATTATTTTTTTAATCTGCAGGCTTGTTATGATATTGATTAATATCGCTGTTGATAAAGCGTTAGACGTTTTTTTGTTTTATGTTGCCTTTAAAATGCCTCGAATACAAAATGTACAACACTTACAGAAAGTGTTTCAAAGAACTGGAAACGTCTCAAAGTGGAAATTGTTAATCCAGCAGGGGGGTTTTTACTTCTCTTTCACAACATTGGGAGACTTCCAAGATACAAATTACAAAAGACTGGTGTAAATTGAAACAGCAGACGCATATCCTGACTTTCAGTCACTTGTATTGCTCGATTCCACAGTTCCCATAATGCACCTCAATAGCATCTCTTTGTTAGACACTCCCTCCTTTGTAAACCTCCTTCAACCCACTTTGCAGCACAGGTTGTATATTATGGGTTTGTAATGTCCAAGACCAAGTTTAGGTAACCCTGATGATATCAGTATGGCGTCATCAGGGTTCTTTTTTCAGACTTGACAAAGCTCAAAAGTCCACAGATGACATCATACAATTATTTTCATAAACTGAGAAACAGTGGAAATTAATTAATTACCTAAGCTGACTTTTTTAGTGTTGTATTTCTATTGTATATCAACATCAATTCAACATAATGAAATGTAAGGGAGTCAGTTTCAAATCAATAACATATCCCCAGTCCCTATTAACATCAACATTAAACTCTGTGTTTCTTATGGATCAAATTATCTTTTTCATGCACTTGAGTCAGCCACAGTGTTGCGTTATAAATAGGTCTAAAGGTGTAAAGGTTCTCTCTGGTGGCTCCTTGATTGAAGGGCATGCCATTTACCAGCGATGTCCTGCCTTGGACATTGTTAGATGTCATCCCCCTTTGAGAGGAGGAGTTAAAAAAACTGAACTGAATCCCATTAGACCTTTTCTGCTTTGTGTCACACTAAGTAGATACAGATAAAGACATACAGAATGCCTCCTCTCCATTGGAAATGGTTGCCATTTTTTGTCTCATAGCTTTCTATTTTTTTATGTAACGTGCTGGATGCAGATGCTGAAGGGAAAAAAGTCATTACAAAATTTAAATGGACAGACATCCCCTGCACCGACTGAGGGAAGAGGAGATTATTTTATTCTATGACCACTGACTTCTTGGTGCTTTATTTGTGAGCTCCCTCTGCAGCCACGTTGTTGGTTATTGTTGGCTCGCTGTGTGCTCCACACTTTGGAGTGGACATGCGTATCCCTTGTCTGGGATGTACAACAGAGGATGTTCATGGCCAAATTAGCCAGCAGAAATTCAAGTTAAATGCCCCCTTTAATGCCGTTTTAAGGCTTTCTTTCTGGATTGTTAGCATCGTACAGCATCCAGTCTTCATTGCAGTGTGTAGTCAAGAGTAATGATGTGTGGTAATGATTTCCTTGAGGCAACTCATCTTTGTTCATTTCCCTTCTGTTTTCTTCTCATTAAACCTTTCAAACTCATTTGCATGGTACCATGCAAAATAAATAAAGTTAGGAGCCAACAGTTACTCTCCTCTTGTTGGCACAGAGGTCCCATTCTCAAGCCATGTTAATCACCACCTATTTATCTGCATCCATGCGGTATCTTCCACATGGATAAACATGCAAGTATTTTGGACAGAAAGCAAATATGTTTACATATGTTTGTGTGCCATTTATTCCAGGAAGCCCTTAGCAAAGTCATTTTAGTGTCATTATGTGAGAGCATTAATTGGCAATATCTGGAATTACTAGAAGAGCACATTGTAT